CTGCGACGTAGGCCCGTGCCAGGCGGCCGCTGTTGTAAACAAACCAGCGTGTGAGCTCTGCTTGTTACAAGTCTCTCCATGACCTCGCTCCAAAATACAGTATATTAGTGACATGTTAGTACCATACGAACCAGCCCGGACTCTGAGGAGCACAGGGACTGGACTCCTGTTAGTGCCCAGAGTCAGAACTAAACATGGGGAGGCTGCTTTTCAGATTCATGCTGCTAAAATCTGGAACAATCTTCCTGAAGATGTGAGACAGGCCTCCTCTCTGACAATGTTTAAAACCAGGTTAAAAACAGTTCTGTTTAGCTGTGCATACAACTGAGGGATTTTATATTTTTATCTTTCTTTTTAATGTTCTGTGATTATTTATGATTTTAATGCTTTCTTATTTTGTTCAGCACTTTGAATTGCCTTGTGTATGAACTGTGCTATATAAATAAACTTGCCCTTCCTTGCCTTGACTGTGCGCATGGATCCCAAAGCTAAAAAGAGAAGAGTCGATAATAAGACTGGACTAAGAATGAAAATTAACATTTGCTTTCAGTCAATGAGGAAGGCCTGCTTCATGTTTGCGATGTAATGAGAAGGTTCTATAAGATAATTGTATCTGTGCTTAGAAACTACAAAAATGGCTGCTCGGGGTGGAGTTGAACCTATGTAACCTGGATGGGGGGGTGGTCAAAAGCGCCTCATTTGCATTTAAAGAGACAGCACCAAAACAGGTTGCTCTCAGACGCACCTCAGAACAGGTGTAGAAGAAAGGCCCGTGGAGCTACAAATAATGAGACTCAGACCCAGGCATTGCAGTTACGCTTTATATAGGCCACAAATGAATGATTTAGATATAAAAATCAATTATTTGAAAACACGATATGTCCACTTTAAAGGTGCCATATTTAGCTTTTCTTCATTTTTCACAGTCCATCCTCGGCACATGTGTGATAATAATTTGGGTGATACACCCATAGAGCTATTATAATAACTGGATAGGGTATTACTAGCTTGGAGCTGAAGAACTCTCGTGCTCGGGGGATTCTTGCGGTACTGCAGACTGAACAAGTCTAAATTCACGTGGGCTACCAAGAAATGTTCCCCATAGAACTCAATGTAAACTAAAACAGCCTGACCTCAGCTGACAGAGAACCTACAGCTTTCACAAAGGTCAGATTTTGTGGGAATTTTAGTGTCCCTTGTCATCCTGAACTTTGTTCTTCTTAAATCGTTCGGTTTTCTTCAAATCTGCACTTTAGTGCCACAAACGATATTTAATAAATATTTGATTCTATCTATTGTTAGATCAATTGTTTGAAGCAGCTCAAGCTATTCGCTCAGATGATGATGAGGAGGAGGGTGCACTTTACTCTTAAGAAGTTTTATTGGGGTGTTATTTTTATGTATTTTGAGATAGATTACACGAATCATCAAAAGTAATATTCATAAGATTACTCAATTAATACAACCAATTTCCATTATATTGTTCCTTTAGTGAATGACAACTACCATATTGTTAACTCTCTGCAATGTTGACAACACTTTTGTCTATTCAGCTATTATGGTCCCAGATGGATTCATCTGCATATCTGGCAACCTGAGTCTGGGAGGGGGAGAGAATTTTATATATATCATCTCATTTAATAGTTCAATTTGGAGAGACGAGAAACGAAAATGGTTTTGAGTATTTATTGAGGTGGTTTGGCGCCCTAGGCCCCGGTGCGGCCTTCAGATCGGAGAGGCTCCTGCGATGGAGCGCGTACAATCCCCCGGGACCTAGGCACTGGTGGCGGCATTTTGGCAGATTGGAGGCAGATTGGAGGCAGATTGGAGGCAGATTGGAGGCAGATTGGAGGCAGATTGGAGGCAGATTGGAGGCAGATTGGAGGCAGATTGGAGGCAGGTTGGAGGCAGGGTGAAGAGGAGGAGGAGGGGAGGCGGTGGTTGCGAGGCTTCGAGAAGGCAGAGAGTGGGAGTTGCTCCGCTTTTAAGCGGCTGCCTGTCCGGCACGGATGATTGGAAGGGGGCGTTTGCCGAGCGATAGGCTGGGGAAGCGAACCGGCCTGGAGGGGGTAGCTTTTGGCTGACGTCTACCAAATTGAATTTTCGCGAGCTACATTTCAATTTGGAGAGACGAGAAACGAAAATGGTTTTGAGTATTTATTGAGGTGGTTTGGCGCCCTAGGCCCCGGTGCGGCCTTCAGATCGGAGAGGCTCCTGCGATGGAGCGCGTACAATCCCCAAAAAGGCTGAGTGTGTTGATGGAGTTTTGCAGCCTGGTTTGCAGGGAACAGACGTCGTGGCTACTCTATGCTGTGACCGCTATCGCTATGCTGTGACCGCTATCGCTATGCTGTGACCGCTATCGCTATGCTGTGACCGCTATCGCTATGCTGTGACCGCTATCGCTATGCTGTGACCGCTATCGCTATGCTGTGACCGCTATCGCTATGCTGTGACCGCTATCTCTATGCTGTGAACCGTTTATGCGCTAACCATTTTTTGCTATGCTGTGACCGCTAACACTAACGCTATGACCGCTACCACTGACGCTATGACCGCTATCACTGACGCTATGACCGCTATCACTGACGCTATGACCGCTATCACTGACGCTATGACCGCTATCACTGACGCTATGACCGCTATCACTAACGCTATGACCGCTATCACTATGTGCTGTGACCGTTATATGCGGTTATCTTTGAGTGCCGGGACGTGAGCGCTCGCATCACGATCAACCGGACGCTGCGGCAGGGTTATCTTTGAGCGCTGGGACGTGAGCGCTCGCATCACGATCAACCAGACGCTGCGGCAGGGTTGTCTTTGCGCGCTGGGAACGTGAGCGCTCGCATCACGTTCCGTCAGACGCTGCGGCAGCGGAGAGTGTTTGAGAGAAGTGCGTGCCGCCACCAGAATCTTATTGGTTCACTTACTTTGCTTCGTATTGCTTTGCTGGGAGCTTACGAGGAAGCCAGTTGACGTTGTGCAGGCAGGATAGCGGACGCGTCTGGCCTGATGTAGGCGGAGAAAGCCGCAGAGGACCGGCGCCCCAGCTGTTGCAGAGAGGTGTGGGGGAGCCCCAGCGAGGCCGCGATGGTCCTGGAAATAAACCCCCCAAAACCCACGGAAGGGGCACGTCCGTGTAGAAGCCGAGACCTGGAGGGGCAGAGACATATCGGAGAGGGCCATGAAGTTGCAGGCGCCCTTACGCTTAGAATCTTGGGTTGGAGAGTAGATAATCAGGATAGTAGGATGGTCGGGAAAAGCCGTGTCTCGGACCGCACGAAGGTTGAGTGTGCAGTAGTGAACGCTTATGCAGAGAAGCCATGGAAGGCGAGCAGGAAGATGCTGCGAGGAGGGCAGACATGTACTTGGAAGATGAGCCGGAGTTCAGTGCCGCTGCAGGATGGGCAGCATGATGGGGAGCCTGCGATCAGAAGAGTGAAGAACACGGTATGGATGCCTTTGATTAGGAGTCCAATTGACGGCTCAGCGCAGCTACTCGGCCAGCTGCATCTGATAGAATCAGAAGATTAAGTAGAGAGATGAAGCACGACCGCCGAAGTGACCCTGGGAGCATAGGTGCGAGTCCAGTGCCGCGCGGCATACTCGGCCGGGCTGCATCCATTAGAAGCAGGATAAGCTTCTGAGAGAGTGGGGGTTGCAGCAGTAGCAGTAGCAGTAGCAGCAGCGGCAGTAACCTCAGATAATAACGGCAACGACCTGTATCAGCCGCGGCAGCAGCAGCTGCTGCATCCGTAGATAATAACGGCAAAACCCTGTATCAAAGCCACGGCAGTAGAATATGTTGTAGCTGTTTAGTGTTTCAGTAAGAGAAGCGAAGTGAAGAGAGATGACGAAGTACATGAAGCAGCAGCAGCACGGCAGTAGTAGCAGTATGAAGCAGCAGCGGCAGCAGTAGCAGCAGTAGCGGTAACAGTATGAAGCAGCAGAAGCAGCATTAGCAGGAGCAGCAGCACCACGAAGCGATTCATACGAACAGACAGACGTGTCACGCCGGCGTGCGCCGCTTGTCTCCGTGAGCCAGGTTACGTACGTGTCTGAAAGAGCCGAGCCACAGAGACGGGTGCAGCCTGGGAGCCTGCGGAACGGCAGCGGCACATGTAGTAGTAGGAGCAGCAGGAGCAGCAGCAGGGACAGACAGCAGCAGGAGCGGCAGCAGGAACAGGCAGCAGCAGGAGCGGCAGCAGGAACAGCAGCGGCGGGATCAGGCATCAGTAGGAACGGCAGCGGGGACCGGCAGCAGCGGCGGTCAGAGAACCAACCCACGGTTGTTTAAGAGCCTGAGGGAATAAATCAACCCGAATCCGAAACATTCCCATGCGAATAACAGACGTCCCCTGGAGCCATCTTCTGCTTTGGTTATGGCAGATGCGCATGAACGACCACTGATCCATGCGTTCATAGCTCCAACACTATTTCCACCCATTGCAGATTCACGTTCGGCCCTTTTTCTTCCTGCTGCACTTTCAAAAATGCAACACTGCAGTTAGTTACCTAATTTAATACCAGCGACCTAGCTATTTATGCATGGTTTTACTGCAAGTGGCAGAACATGATCTGAATTAATGCACATAGCTCCTCGTATATCCCTCAGACGATAGAGATTGATGCCATTTAATATGCATTGCCCCTCAGTTAGCTCAAACACATGTGAAACGGAGCCTGCAGACCAAGCTCGGGGCGAAAAAAACTGGCGCCTGCAGTCAAGTGCGTAGGGCAAAAACCAGCCGCCTGCAGCCCAGAACTCCGGGATTAATCTGTCCGCGGTCGGCACACACACTGTACTCACATGCCAGGAGACTTGGGAAAAGCAACGGGACAACGCGGCACCGCCAATCGAGGCAGGGACACGCACGGCACCGCCAGACCTCTGCGTGCGGCAGCAGACCACAAGGAACGAGCCGCACATAAACCCGCGGAGGGCCCCGCGGAGCAGCCCGCAGAAAGAGCCCGCAGAGGAGGAAAGCAGTGGGGATATGCGAACCACAGCAGTGCAGGGACGTGGAAGAGGAGCAGACCAGTGCAGGGACGCGGAGGAGGAGCAGACCAGTGCAGGGACGCGGAGGAGGAGCAGACCACAAGCAGCCAGACGGAGGACGCCAGGGACGCGCCGAGTAGCGTGAGTAGACGAAAACGATTCCTCCAGACGATTCTCTGCAAGGCTTCAGGAGCTTGCGAGGCTTCGAGAAGGCAGAGAGTGGGAGTTGCTCCGCTTTTAAGCGGCTGCCTGTCCGGCACGGATGATTGGAAGGGGGCGTTTGCCGAGCGATAGGCTGGGGAAGCGAACCGGCCTGGAGGGGGTAGCTTTTGGCTGACGTCTACCAAATTGAATTTTCGCGAGCTACATAGTTATTTAACCAAGCTGCTCCAAATGGCCAGCTTATTCTATTAATAATAGAATAGTTTAGCACTGACTGACATATAACCTTTGATAATGTTTGATCTTGTAGGTCTGATGGACTATTACAAAATGAAGATAAAAACGGCGGTGAGTGAGACGTTTATGACAGCATGTACACCATACACTGTTGCAAATGAAACTGCACATTGCTCTGGGTGGTGTGAGGATGTCTCGGTGCTGGTCCGGGGGTCATCTAGTTTTGATCCTTCTGGAACTGAAGGCCTTTAGTTGTTGGAAGAGGGAGCTGCAGGACAATCTGAGCCACAAGTTCAAGTCCTTTCCTTTGTCCTCCATTTTCCTCCGGAGGGGACCCATTCTCTCTCTCTCAGCAAGCCATCCTTTTCTTCTCACTCTGGAGATTTGGGTTTTGTTGTCTGGTTAACGCCGTCTCACTGAAAAAAGAAGCTTGCTGACTGTGGCCATGTAATAGTGTCTATTTGTATTGGGCAAATCACTAATCCATAATCCAAGGTTTATACAATGGTTATGTATCAACAAATATATAAACAATGGCTTCGATCCCATAGTGCTGTGTCTGTCCTCCAACCAAAGTCGAATCCTAGAACAGGAAACAAAAAACTTCAGCTCTTATGTTCCTGTAAGCCAGAGGTCTCCAACCTGTAGCTCAGGAGCCACCAGTAGCTCCCCACCCCCTTCCAGGTAGCTCACCAAAGGATAATCAAATATTATACTTAATATTTCAGATTATATCATTCATTATTATTATTTATTATTGTAAATGCTCTTACTTTGTCACTAGTAACAAATATGGGACGATTAATAATGACTACCCGATGTCAGGCTCTTTCACACCAATGTATCACCACATTTTTTCCCCCAGAGAGGCTTAAAGGAGTAGCTCTCTGCCTTTATCGTCCCGGGAAAGTAGCTCTCTGGGTGAAAAAGGTTGGAGACACCTGCTCTAAGCTCATGACGAGATGAGAACAGATGAGGATTAAAATTAAAATGCCATGGATCCACATACCTCACAGTATAGGAACAATATCATGGACTCTGCAAGATACAAAAATCAATTCAATAAAATTTTTTTGATGGATCAGCTGGGGCTTGAACTCACAACCTCTTGCTTATTGCAGAAGAGAAGCTTGTGGCACTTGGATCTACAGTCGCAGTTCAAATACACTGACTTTGTTTTCTCTTCGGTCCTAGAGTCCACAGAAGAAGTCTGCAAAAGAACTCAGGATCAAGATTTATAAATGAGGGTTGAAATAAAAATAATTGCATTAAACAGAGTCCTCAAATTCAATTCTGTTCAATTTATTTGTGTCTAGCACCAACTGTAAATATCTCTAAGTTGTCAATTCACCACCACATATCAGAGTATTAAACCGTTCAAACACAGGAAATGCATTGATGAAATACACAGAGAGCCATTGATCAATCAATCAATCAACGTTTATTTGTAGAGCGCCTTTCCTACACAAGGCAACGCAAAGCGCCTCACAACCCATATAACATTATGCATAAATCATCAAACATTAGAATTTAAGTAAACATAAAAAGACAGATTAAGAGCACAAGATATATAAAATCAGTAGTTAAAAACCGTAAAACATTAAAATCACACAAGGGATTACAATCATAAATAATCATAAATAATCATAGTGCATTAAAAAGATTAAAGAAAAAAACAAATATAAAATCATTCACTTGTATGCACAGCTAAAAAGAACTGTTTTCAGTTCAGTTTTAAAAACTGCTAGAGTAGACGCCTGTCTCACACTCTCGGGAAGACGGTTCCAGACTCTAGCTGCATGAATCTGAAACGCAGCCTCCCCATGTCTAGTTCCGACTCTTGGCACTAACAGAAGTCCAGTCCCTGTGCTCCTCAGAGCCCGAGTTGGTTCATATGGCACCAACATGTCGCGGATGTACCCTGGTGCGAGGCCATGGACAGACTTGTACACAAGTAAAGCTACTTTAAAATCTATTCTCTGAGCCACAGGAAGCCAGTGCAGAGACATGAGGACCGGACTAATGTGGTCGTACTTCCTGGTTCTAGTCAGGACTCGAGCTGCAGCATTTTGGATGTACTGCAGCTGTTTTACCGCTTGTTTAGAGAGACCTGTGAACAAGCCATTGCAGTAGTCCAATCGACTGGAGACAAATGCGTGGATAAGAATCTCCAAGTCTGCTTTAGACACAATGTTTTTAATTTTAGCAATGTTTCTTAGGTGGAAGTAAGCTGATGATGTCACAGATGATATGTGGCTATTGAAATTTAAGTCTGAGTCCATTATTACTCCTAGATTTCTGACCTGAGTTGAGGGTTTTAGGGAGAGAGACTGGAGGTGGCAGATAACGCTCTCTCTTTGTTTTTGAGGTCCGAAAACAATAATTTCAGTTTTTTCTGTGTTTAGCTGGAGAAAGTGATTTTGCATCCAATCACTGATTTGTTGGATACAGTGAAGGAGCGAGTCCACTGGTCCATGTTCTCCTGCTGTCAGGGACACATAGACCTGAGTATCGTCAGCATAATTGTGATAGGACACGTTATTACTGTGTATTAACCTACCCAGAGGCAGCATGTAAATATTAAACAGGAGAGGCCCCAGGATTGATCCCTGTGGCACTCCGCAGGTTAGGGCCAGATGGTCTGAGATACAGTTTCCGATCTCCACAAAATACTTTCTGTCCTGTAGGTAGGATATAAACCAGCTTAGGGCTGTTCCAGAAACACCAACCCAGTCCTCAAGTCTCTGAATGAGGATACCATGATCAACAGTGTCGAAAGCAGCACTTAAATCTAACAGGATAAGAACTGAGACTTTTCCTGCGTCAGTGTTAAGTCTGATGTCATTTGTTACCTTCACTAGAGCGGTCTCTGTGCTGTGGTGGGGTCTAAACCCTGACTGGAACATATCAAAAGAGTGATTGATTATTAAAAATTCTGTAAGTTGTTGATAGACAACTTTTTCTAGAATTTTACCCATGAAAGGCAGATTTGAAATGGGCCGATAACTTTTAAGTGCCAAGGCATCCAGACTCCTCTTTTTTAGGAGGGGTCTGATGACTGCCGTTTTCAGGGCCATTGGGAATGTTCCAGATTCAAGAGACATATTTACTATATGGGTGAGTGAAGGTAAAAGACTGCTCAGAACAAATTTAAGAAATCTAGGAGGTAATACATCCAGGCTACATGTAGAAGAACTCAGACTTGTAATTATCATTTGGACAGTTTCATTTTGTACTGGTGTAAAGTGTGTCAGCCCAAAAAGCTTCACTGGCTGTTGGATTGTAATTTCTACTGTGGAGGTGATGGCATTTTTGATGCCTTGGACTTTGTCATTAAAAAACTCTGCAAACTCATTACATTTGGTTTTGGAGGTAAGCTCTGATGGCATCTTAACAGGGGGATTTGTCAATTTATTTACTGTTGAGAACAGAACGCGTAGATTGTTACTGCAACCTTCGATAGCACACTGTTGAACTTGCACAATGCATCTTTGAAGATCTCATGGTCAACTTGGAGATTTGACTTTCGCCACTTCCGCTCGGCTGTCCTCACCTGTCCCCAAGGGGCAGGTGAGGAATGTCGAGGGAACGACATCGAAAAGGTCCCTGGATGAAGGTTTTGTCCCATTCAGCTGTAAAAATGTTTTAATCCAAAGCTTTAGAAAAAATATATCGTTTATAGATTATAATAACGATAACCACATCTTTGAGAAGTTTTAATTTGACAATTTAAAGAAGCTATACCCAATTTTTTTTTTTATGAGTTCATAAAAATGCTTATTACTACATACAAGTTCATCCGTAATTTAATTGAAAACTTGAGCTTATTGATTCAGCTTGTGTATGAATTCAGGCCGTAAAAAGTGCTGAGTGTGATGTTGGCTCTCCTCCAATCACAGACCGAGGCTGCGTCCTCTAGCCTCTACAGCGCTGCTGAACACAGTAGCATGTTAGTAGAATTGGCTATAACTGGGGCGCTAAGGTGCAGGGCGACGCATCGCGTCATGATCTAGATTCTAGTGGTTCAACTTAGCTGTAGTAGCTGTATGACCGTGAGACTGATGTGTCTGCAGTGAATAAATATGCCAAAAGGCTAAAGATGGCTCATCTCCATTGTTCCCTTTTTATCCGAGTGCAACATTAGCTGCAACATTGAAGCAAACAGACACCCTCTTCAAGAAGGGCCAGAACAGGTGTTCTGTCGAGACGCCCCCCCGTCGAAACATATTATCTAGTGCATCTGCGCATGCGTCAAAGTAGGTTTATTGAGCCATCGGATTTTGCATCTCCAGCTTCACGTGAGTAGTTTTATTTACAATAAACAAGATTACACTCGTGTATTTTGTGCTGAACACTATGGCACTAGACATTACTGTGATGTAGTACTAGTTCAAATTCACGTGAAGATGTGGACAATAATGTAAATAAATATACGTCTTAAGTTGGCGTCTGGACTTCTGCATTAGCAACTATTGCACAATTGTGCAGTAAGATAATAAAGATGTAGTATGCACGTATATAATAAAACATTCTAAGCTACTCGCTTTTCCTTTTTAAAAGATCAAAATACTGTCTCATAAAGTGGTGATAACGTGTTCTCTTTCGGCGGGTGGGGAGGCAAATTTTGACAAGGAGTGCACGCCATGTATTCAGTACATTAAACTAACATACTACCTTTTATTAAATCTAATAAATCATAAATAATTTGACATGTAAACATTCATAATGAATAAGCTATGGACAGTTGCTTTCGGCGGGTGGGGATGTACATTTCAATCAGTGTGGGAGGGTCCCAGCTCAAAAGTGGCCAAAATGACGCTGACATGCTGCAATACCACCCCGGGCCGATGGGGGTGGACCCAGAAGAAGAATTAGCCAATGCTAACATATAGCATTGGCAGACCTCTCAAAAACGTCTTTACAGGATGGACCAAAAGTTGGCTCTTGGCCCAAAGCTCAGTTCCACATGTGTGTCAATGCTGAGGGGAGTGAATTTTTTTGGACCACTCTAGTTTACTTGCTGTGAATTTTTGAAGTCTCTCGTTCAAATGAATGGAGCTGCGCCGGCTGACGCATGCGCAGATGCGTTTTTTCACAATTTTCTTGTGGGCGGGACCACTCGCGGCCATTTTGGATTGCTCCAGTAGAGCACATTTTTTGGCCCATTAGTTAGAACGGCGGAGATAGGCGTGACTCTGTCCGTTAATATATACAGTCTATGATTTCAACAAAGGGGGCAAATCTCGACAAGGGTGCACTTCTCGGCAGAACACCGGCTCTACCTGCTGAGGAGGCTCAGGTCTTTTAGAGTGCAGGGGCAACTCCTGAAGACCTTCTATGACTCTGTGGTGGCATCCGCCATCTTGTATGGTGTGGTCTGCTGGAGCAGCAGCATCACAGAGAGGGAAGAAGCTGGACAAGGTCATCAGGAAGTCCAGCTCTGTCCTGGGCTGTTCCCTGGACACAGTGCAGCAGGTGGGGGACAGGAGGGTCCTGAGCAAACTAACATCTATGCTGGACCATGACTGTCACCCCCTGCAGGACACTCTCTCTGCTCTGGAGAGCAGCTTCAGTGACAGACTAATTCACCCTCGCTGTGTGAAGGACAGGTTCCGTAGGTCTTTCCTTCCTGCTGCTGTCAGACTGTACAATAAGAACTGCTGAGCCTGTAAATTTCATTCATCTGTAAATAAGTAAATTCTTAAATCATGTGCAATGTGCAATACTGCAACTTCAGAATGTCACTGAACAATGTCACTTTACCTTTAAGTCACTTTACCTCATCTACTTATTATCCTGCACTATTTAACTGTATAGTATATAACTGCACTACTACTTCATATATATTTGTTGACTGGTATTGAAGCATTTCCAGTATCTACAGCCAGTTATGCTAGTTAAGAAACATACTGTAGCTACTACGTATTTTGTATATATTTTGTGATCCCTGTGTGCTTAGGAAAGAATTTCAGAAAAAAATGATAAAGGAATTACTAGTACTGCGTGCAGCTCTGACTGCCACCCTGCATGTAAAACAGGGTGGCAGTCTCAAATTACATGCATTTTACATGCATGTAATTTGAGTTATAGCACTAGTAGTAGTAGTATAGTAGTTATAGTGACTCAAAAGGTGATCTACCAAATGGTTGAGGAAACCATTAAACGGTTTGCACATTAGATCTACTAGTTTCATCTTTTACAATTTACCAAACTTATTAACTTACTTACTTCTTTTTACCAAACCATACTGAACATTTACAAATAATGTTGGACATATATATATATATATATATATATATATACACAACATTTTAGACAAACTTAATTAAATGTATTATTAATATTTCTGGCACAGGCTAATTTTTGGGACTGGATTATGCTGAAATGGGCGGAGATTCGGTCTTGACCTGGCAACCCTGACTACTGTCTACTAGACCCAAAACTCGGAAGAAACTTCACCAGAAACGCGGCTCTTCTGCGGCATTTCGCCTAAAACAACAGTGATATCGGCTCCAGTTAAACCTGCGGACACCCAGCTCCAACTTTTATCTATGTTGAGCGTAATTTCTCCGTGTTTTGAGTCGTTCTGGTGACTTATTGCTCGCGTGTTTTGGATGAGCCGTCGCGACAGGAGCCGAGCTGCAGAGAGTCATGTTGGTTCAGCTGCAGCTCCTTCCGATGTTTAGTCTCTGTCATTAGGCACAGACACAGACACAGACACAGACACAGACACAGACGGCCAGGGAAGTACCGCAGGGACCGGCCTGGGAGAGGCCCCGCCATGGCCGAGGCTCGACCCGAAGAGGAGGAGGAACACATGAGGGAAAGTCGGGAACAAGTGGTGGTGCGGAGACAGACGGCCAGCGGCTCTGGAGGTGCAACACTTTGTTTAGTTTATTACGTACTGTTGTTTCTTCTTACGTACGACTGGTTGTTGTTGTTGTTGGGAAATGTCTTGTCTCAATGTCTTCATGCAAATGTGTTGTTTAGCCCCGGTCTGTTCAAACTATGGCCCGCGAGCCAATTGCAGTCATCCGGGTCATTTTATGTGGCCCCTTTCCTTGCTAACCCAGAGTAGTCTGAGGTCATAAACACACGTTCACAGTGTCACCCAGCCAACTTCAGCGCAATTGCAGGGCTCGACATTAACGGTTTTCCACTTGTCCGGAGTAACTAAAAATTTGGGACAGGCAAGTGCGCTGTTTTAACAAGTTGCCCGGTCGGGCAAGTGATGTATTAATTTAACCCATTCAGACCGTGACCGACCATATTCCCTCATTTCTTCCGCTGGAGCCTGGAGCGGACACGACTGATTATCTTTTTTCGACCAATTCTCTTCAAAATTTTCCACGGATCCCGACTGTTTTCTGCTGACAATGTTATTTCTGTGAAATGTATGACCGCGGGAACTTTCTGTTGTTTGCTGTATGGACTCGAACAGGATTTACATCCTCCGCTCTGACCCCGGGAGCAGCTGCGGCCGCTTTGTCAACAGCTCAGTGAACGCACAGCCATAACGTGGTACCGAGCGCGGACCATGGACCATAGACACGTGGAATGAACCATAGATGATCCAGATCATCATTTGAATGCAGGTGTTCTGCTGCTGCTGATATTATACCTATCATTTATTTTGGTGGATCATAGACACGCGGACAGGACCAGACGCACGGACAGGACGTGCGGACAGAACCATTGACACGCGTTCAGGACCATCCCCAGCTTGTTGCAAGTGCAGGTCTCCCCCGTGTCTCCTACTTATGCGCAACCAAAACTCATTAAATTAAAGCTCAGGTACCTAAATCTCCCCTTGCATAAAAAATTCATGTTGGTTTTGCACAAAAGTAAAATGTTGTGAACAAATCAAACAGAACACACCACGACAGGCGTCTTGTTTTTATTTTGCATACTTAAGAGCCCTATGAGTCATAATTTGACTTTTTTTGCCACTTTATTGCCAATCTCTTAATTTATTGTATTGATAAATATTTGGGTAAGTAACTTTTGACATTGGGCTAGTAAAATATAAATGGTACTTGCCCGAAGGGCAAGTGACTGACAGTGCTTAATGTCAAGGCCTGAAGTGACATAACTTGTAGAGGCTGACATTTGTTTTTGATTGTCACAAAGTTCCGTTAATGGTGCTAATGTAGTTAGTGAGACATTATTCTCCAATAAAATACATTTGATAGTACTGTGGGTCTTCTGTGACCTTCTGTCATGCAACAATAGTAACTGTAAAGTCCTCATACTGTCTTGGAGTTGATCCAGATCATCATTTGGACGCAGGTGTTCTGCTGCTGGATGAAGCTGGATGTTATTTTAATTATACCTATCATTTATTTTGGTGGAGGTCTGCACTCAACGGGTCAGTGCTTTTAGTGTATAGATATTTTTATAAGCTTTTTTTATAAGAGACATCACATCACCATGTCTCATTTACTTTCACAACATTAAAGATATAGGATTTCCCCACATTTTTGGAAAGAACCGTCCTCCACTTTTTGAAAAAAACTCTGTTCTTATTGACGAGCACGAATCACCAGAATGATGAGGACCAATAGTCTTGTTGATCCACACGGAAGCAGAAAAACCTCCTATATACCTTTTGCAACTAAGTAGGTTATTTTTAGTTATATTGTTGAAATTGTTGTGAGCATTTCTCCTCTCATGCCACACATGGGAACAGCGTTGCCAGACTCATTGTACTTAATGGTTGGGGAAACTGGAACAGATAGAGGGAGAACATGCAAACTCCACACAGGCGTGCTGCAACAGGTTCAATTTGACAGTGTAAAATAAGTAATCGTCGTAACAAAGCTACCGTCTCATGAATCTAGACCCAATGGCACATGTTGAATGAGCTCAAACCTGTAATAAGGGTGTTCTCATTCATTTGAGAGTTTCTTTTTCCTGTCATCAAATCCATGTCTTCAGCCACTTCTATTGAAACTCGGGCGGTAAAGCCAATTTAACGTCTGTTTCTAATCTGAAGGAAAATGAGACAAAGTTGAGGCAAAGTTACTCCTCAACCTGTCATTATACCATGTGCCATTACCACAAGCTGTTTGAACCACAGAGTCGTATTTTAAGTTATTTGTCTTTGCTTTTTGTATTGTTTATTGGAGAAATTGACCTTTTTTGTCATTTCTGCGTTTTTAAACTGGCATATGGCAGAGGGAGTGTACTGTGTGAACTGTTGAATAGGTGACTGTTGAAGAGGCAGTGGTAACAGGCTGTGATTGGCTGACACACATTCTCATCTCTGCTCAAATTACACAGGTTTCGCTGGGTTGTTGTGTATGTGGTCATAAAGCGTTTTCATTTTCTCATTGGTTGTTTCCCCATCCAAACTCTCGCCTCATATTGAAAGTCCTACTGCTAGAATCTGGTCGACCTTTCTCAAGATTGTGGTGGAACTTACTCGTTTCTACTAATTCAAAGTTTTAGTTCACGATTGGTTAAAGAGGAACATGAACATTATCTGTCAACTCTGAGTGAAACTGAAACTGGTAAAGCAGCTCCCACAGCACAGACTGGCACCAGAGTAGGGGTGGGCGATATTTTACCATTTACTGTAAAAGCAATTTTTAAAAAGAAAAACGGATGCATTCATTTAAAATATAAAAAAACTCAAAGTCTGTAGCAGTTAGACATGGTCATTATTTATAGTGTCAGAGTTTTCTGCGTGTCCATGGCTTCAGTAAAAGCTATTGTTCGTTTACAAAGCTGGTCTTGTCATTTGTTGATGCTCCCTAAGCGCTTTTCTCAGTGCTTGCAGTGAACTGGATGATTCGATGGATTTATAAACAGTGCATTGGATTTGAACAATTGATGTAAATGATCATTTTGGCACAATTCGTTTTGTTTAATAAAGTAGCTTTTGTGAGATATTGACCGCGGAAGTCCGAATCTGACGCTAACTTTACCAAACCTCCGATGTGATGAGGCTGCGGACACGGCACACGCATGGACCTAATTTGGCTCACGCTGGCGCTTCGAGCCTATGCCTCTTTGACAGTGATTGGTCCGAAAGGTAGATGCTTAAACTGTGATTTCTGTGTGTGTATTTACCTCTGCTGGGGCCGCTGTGACAACAATACAGAGACAGAAACACGGTGTGAATGCCGTGCTGTTGTTCGTTGTTTCCAGTGGTGTCTGTTAGGCTAATAGCTGGCTAATGATGATCCAGGACACTTTAACATTCTACAACATACGGACATTTTCTTCTGTGTGCTTTTTCATATGTTTTAACTGTTGATTCTCTAATCTGTGTTGGTGATTTCAATGTTTTTGTTAAATCCTCTGAGATGACTTCTGTTGTGACTTAGGGCTACACAAGAATAAATTGTATTATATTGTAATAGTACTAGGCTAATGTGCTAGGATAATGCTGCTGAACGCCGGTTTGTTTTGGTCCTTTCTGCTGGACCAAAACAATGTCAATTTTCAAGTATTTCTCAATTCTGCTGAGTGCATGCTTTTTGATTTGTTTTCTTCTTTGACTGTGAGTAAAATATGTGCTCTTAAGAACAGTGTAATCTAGTGTTGTGATTAACAATAATTTCGAGAATTCATTAGTTGTTTGGATCCCAAAAGCTCTGCCAATATGGAATTTTTTCTGGTTTTGACCAAAGTGAAACTCCTCGATGCAAAGAGAGATGTTACTCATTTGGTTGCTTTTGAAAACAGTTAAACAATTTTTTTTATTTCATTCTGCAGTTGTATTAGAGTTCTCAGTGTAATCAAACCTTCACAACATGTTTAACTCTATGAGGTTCAAGAACAATTAATTTAATATGAAATTAATCAGTAATCAATTTAGTTCCAATTAATCAAACTTGTTTTCTGTGAGTTCACATGCTGCTGCATTCTTCAGCTCTGACTCAGGAAGGATCTGGGATTCATTTTGTTTCTAATTCCATGGATTCAGTAACTACACGTTTTGCTCAGGATCAAAGTTGCTAAGAGCAAAGGTTGACCTGTCCCTCTTTAAAATGTGTTAAAACTTGTATGTCACTTCTATTCCATTCATAATTACTACTGTGTCCCAACAGGAAGTCTTGAAATTGCATGAAAAACTTAGACCACAAGAAAACGCTGTTCCATTTTGTTTTGGTTTGAAAAGTTAGGCACCTCAGCTTTAATTCTCCGCATTTGGCAGAGAAGTGTCGGCACATCTACAGATCTTAAGCTCTTGGCTCGGAGTGGGACTACCCTTTTTGTGTGAAGGATGCGATCTGTTTATCTGAAAATAATGAGGACCAAACACTGCCGATGTGACCTCTCATCTGTTTGAACTCATGTCAGAAGCATGAGACTACATGTGTCCACTGTCACTTTACTTTAGATTTAAGTATAAAGTTGGTGATTTTAAATGGTCTTCCTTATTATGCTGAAGTTGTAGATTTTATTTTATTTTAGTATAGAGTCATTGTTCATTTATCTTGTCGTGTGCTCCTCATGCCTATTTTTCTGTAAATACTTTACACAGAACATATGATGCAACACTGAAATTTTCCCGCTTAAAACTAATAAGATTAAGAGAGTGTCCCTTTGAAATCAAACGTCAAATCTTCTTGATGTGAGGTGAGCACTCCAGTCCCCTCAGTCACCAGACTTATACCCGATATGGGTATTTTGTAAGGATCGGATAATATCGTATTTGTTAAATATGAAGCCGATTTACGTCACTTTTCAGCATGCTCACGCTTTACGGCTGCCGTAAACTAAATACAATGTAAAACTAGGGCTGGGCGAAAAAACGACAACGATATATATTGCGATAGACACGTGTTCAATATCAGGGTCAATAGAATGTTAGTTTAACATCAATCCGTTAGAAAAAAACGGACGAAAACACAGGAAGTAAAGC